TGTGTTTGTGTGTGTGTGTGTGTGTGTGCGTGTGTGTGTGTATGTGTGTGTGTGTGTGTGTACGTGTGTGTGCATGTTTGTGTGATCTTATATATATCAATAAGAACTTTACCTTTTATTGTTACCCTGAAGGCTTCAAGATTCCAGAGACATCTGCCGCCTTCCAGATAAAGTGTTGCTGTATGTGTTTTCATTCCTGTCTGCTCGGGATATCTTTCAGGCCTCACAGGTAATCTTTAAATCATTTCTGCAGCATTTATCAATGAATTTTGGTCTCTCGTAGTAATATTATGCGTTATTTTATTTTGGTCCTAAATATTATTTTTTTAAAAATATTTATTTATAGTTTTTTTTTCCAAAATGCTTCACCAGATAAATGAAGGACGATAACTGTTTTATCCATTCAGCTGTGTTTCTCCTACTGAATGATGTGAAAGTAGTTTCAGATATTCTTGGTGCTTCATTTATAGAAATGCTCAAAATACTAGCTATCTTGTAATCAATTTTTTCTTAAATTCTGACAATACATCAATACATCACACAGATCTAGTTGTATTCTGAACTTAAAGAAAAGTTGCTTTCCTTTGTATCCAGGTGTGTAGGAGATGGCGCTACCTCTGTGCAATTGACAATTTGTGGATTCTAAAATGTTTGGAAATGGGTAAGTAGTTCTTCAGAAGAAGAGTTTATCTAGAACAATTCATAATTGTTCTCTGGTAAATATCATAATGTGGGACATTTTGTTGTTTCATGTCCATCTCATTTATTATGCGAGGCAGCATGGCCTACTTGAATCTTTCTTTCCTTCTCTTTTTCACTCTCTTTCTTTTACTTTTTCACTTTCTCTCTCTCTCTCTCCCCCTCTCTCTATCCCTCGTCTCTCTCTCTCATTCTACGAGGCAGATAGAGGGTTTTATACATTTTTGAAAGGATGACGATTTTTTTCTTTCTTATCTATACTTTAGTAAACATATTATTTTTTTGTATCATTTAAAAGTAATCCCATTAAATGTCAAATTGGTTCTGAACTTTCTTGAGTGTACATGTGCGTTGTTAGTGGACGGCCCAAGTACAAATTCTCAACTGGATTGCTGTTGCCCTCTATCCACCAGGGTTGTGTCGGTTCTTCTTGCACTTAAATCATGCTTATGTGCTGATAGCTTTTTAGATTCATGATTATAATGACTCATGATTTGTTTTGTTCCGACAAAGACAAAAATCTCTTAGAATGATCTTTAATATATGTGAAGTGTGCTGACAAAATGAGTTGTTTCTCGCATTTGAGCCCTGTGGAAATAGATACATCACGCTTATAGGTTAAGCTTTTACAATTTATAAGTATGAAATAAGGAAAGGCATGTTATACTTAAAGAATATTGCATCAATAGAAAACCAATTAATTTGCCCCTAGGGTTGATTTTTGGCCAATATCTCCATTTGTGGATTGGAAGAAGTAACTCATTTTGTCAGCATGCCTCACATATATTTTTTTTTTTCATCTCAGGTGAGCAGGAAGGAGTGTCGAATCTACCAGAGCTGATCCAACAAGCCAACAAACAAGGCATGAGTGTCGACTGGAAACTGGCTTACTGTCAACTCAATGATCTGATGTACATGCTGAGAGGAAGCCTGGAACAAACTGACGAGTCTCTCACTGATGGTTTACCAGGTTAGGGTTCACATCTGCACCGTTCAGCATTATTTACTAAAGTATCATCATACTTTGACTTTTTTTCAGAAACTATTATATTACAGGGTGGTTAGAGGGTGCAGCATCACTAGTAGGATGTGTTTCTTCTCTCTTCCTGTGGTGTTTCTGTCTGTCTGTCAGTCTAACTCTTTCCTGTACTGTTGACCGTTACCATGTTGGTAAACCTCTCTCTGCTCAAAGTCAAACCTACTTAAATGCTTGATCCAGCGAATTGTTAAGGTAAGTCACTCTACATCATGTAGTTCCATTGCAGGTTATCAAGACTTTGATCTTTTAAAATAATTCCTCATTTCATCACTTATGTATGGCATCAAAGGTTATAAACTAAAAAAGGGTTCACTTTTCTATTTGATTGACCTTAGAAAATGGTCTGCACATCATTGGTAACGACATATATAGTATTGTGCGTTTGAAACTGTTTATTTTTGTTTGAGGCCGGGTATCTTTCAAGACTCAATGTTTTGTGTTCAAAGAGTATGAGCAAAAGATGTTTATCAAATAATTACTATTTGAAACACATGAATTTTATCAGCGGAGGTGGTGACTTCAGTATGGTTGTGCATGGAGAGACTTTCTCCAGGCAAAGAAACGACTTATAGTTTACTGTCTTGATAAAGACTTGATATAGGGGTGGGAAAAACTTTCCATTCGTCCATGAAGCTAACTTTTCATCATATTGGACTGTGACCAGTTTAATTATGCTTTCTGAGCTGGTATTTGTTGGATACTAGTAATGCGAAGAAACGATCACTTGGGATGCAATGTTCAATCTTATAAATGTCATTTATGTATGTTACTCGTCTCGTCTGCCCTTGAAATAAATGTTTGTATTTTTGCATTCCTAAACATTACTGAGCAAATGCACTCTGAATTTAGGTCAAAGGAGTGATTTCTCCTTGATTTGGTTCCCTTTGTACTTTTTATTATCTCATATGTTTGGTTCTCTCCAAATTTTGTACTCTAACTTTTTCTCAAAATCTCTTTGAATTTCATTTGAATTTAGTTTGAGAGGGACTTTGATAGTCTTGATGGTAAATTTATATGTATGTAATGTACCAAAAACGTCTGACAATGATATCCACAAAGGCAGATTAGTCAACATGGATTAGACAATGGAGGAAAGAATAGAGTCCGCCCTTTGAATTAACCACCCCATTCACTTTTGATTGACAGAAGAAGTTGTACGAACACATATTGATTGTATGTTTATCAGTTTTAAACATGATTTTGTAGCCTGTTTGGTTGGAGAAATACTTGCACAATTAGGTTATTATTGGGGGTTTTGGGGGTTTTTTGGTTGTTGTTTTGTTTTCAAGTTCTCTGACGCTGCTGGAGAAAGCAGGTGATTGGCAAGTGCTCTGGTGTGGTTTGCTCCTTCTTTCCTACCAAACATCTATTGTCTTGATCTCTCATCCTTCTTTGAGTTTGTTACTCTTCTTGTAGCACCACTAATCCTTGGCATTTATATGACTTTATTGTGTTGCAAGTGGTGTAAAAGGCTTACTTAAACTAAACTTAACTACTGAGGAATGTCTCCCTGTGTTAATTTCCCTTACCCATCTTACAATCTCATAACTGTTCAACAGCTGAGGAGGAAGATTCCATTGGCACCGATAGAATTTGGACAGGAATTATAAGACCCACAGCTGGAGACTTTCATGAGAAACCCAAGAGTACTGTGGATGGAAAGAGAAAGGTGGACAAAGGAAAAGTTACAATCCGTGAGTATAATTTTTTTTCCCTTTTTTACTATGAGTTTTAACTACGTGAAATATCAGATAATTTCTCATGCTTATAACTTTTAAATACTAGATCATGCCTTGTATATTTTAATTGATTAAATTTGAATATTGGATGTTTTGAACCTGGATTATTTTGGGGAAGGGGGTTAAGGTTCTCCAACAATTTTGTTGATCCTTTTGGAAATGGATGTTGAATTCGGAGGTATCACCTCTGAAATAACCTAACTGTGTCAAAAGGGGCGCTGAACCTGTACAATGACAATGAAAAGTCTAGAGCATAAATATTAATATAGCAGTCATTGTATTGTTTCTAACTCAAGTGTTGCAGTGAAAAGAATTTATCTTAAGGATTAAATAAAACAACTTAATCTTTTGAATTTGATGTTTCTCTATTTATCTTGTCTGATGTTTCCAGATGACATATTTGTTGCTCTGTGCAATGGCATGACATGCAAGAGCACATAAGCAATCTTATTGTGCAAACAAGTACATTATGTGTTATATTTATTTGCTCAGGTGTATCATCATTGCTTTCTTTCCTTCTTGCTTCCTTCATTTTGACTCTCATAACAGAGTCGAGAACTGCAGTTTGTTTTTTTGTGTCTCTCTGTGCATTCCTAAGTCCTACTTCCCCCTCCACATGAAGAATTAGAATCTTGTAGAAAACCCTTTCTTTGGACACCACTCTTTATGCTCTCCTCTCTGTATTGGTAAGCAAAACAACTACAAGTGACAAACCCCCTCCGCAAAGTGACATCAAACTGAAAAAAAGGTTGCGGCCATTGGATTAATTTAAAGGACAATAGCAACAACAACAACAACAAAATAACTACACTAACTGCAATAAAGAAAACACACTAACTGGAAGAAAACCCCCCCAAAAAACCCAGCTCCATGGCAATTATATGCACCGGACTAAGGGAGACTAGACTGGCTCACGCGATTAGGGGATGGTGGCTCTGGCGAGAATTCATATCTCAGGGTCACTGATAGGTACAACAGAGAAATTATTACTGACTCGGTTACCCCCTGAATCTGCTGGCCACACACAAACGACAACAACAAAAAACAACAAAGATAACTGTTACGGAACACTGTCAATACATGTATTCCAACGAATGACTTATTGAAAATTAATTCGAACTCCATCAACACAAAAATACACAGATGAAAGATTAAATGAACTAGAATACGACATACTACCTTTAGACTGAACACTTTATTCACAAACAGGTGTCGTAGATTCTCCTTACTGTGACTTGACTCAGTCCCTTGCCTCACGACTAAACTATTAGTGACAGCCTCTGTGGCTATATGCTCTCTCGAGCCTCCTTCTCTTGTGACTGACCATGAGTGACTGACTGAGTGACTCTGTGGCTCTAAGCTCACGCGAGCCTCACTTTCTCATGACTCGAGTTTCCCGTGCGAAACTCTTGACCAACCTCCCCCCACCAGCCGGGTTGCCAAAAAGGTTATCAATGTAAAAGAAAATGGCCAAGTATCCACAACAAAGACAATTTTTCTTATTTCTAGGTTTGAATACAGGTGTAAGAGAGAGACTGGAACAACGTGACCAGCGTAAACTGTCGGAGGAAGGAGCAGGCCGGCGTGGGTCAAGGCCGCTGGACAGAGACGGGAGTGACATGGACAGTGCTTTCTCTGAGGAGGACCTAGCTCCCTTGCTAGAGGAATACAACATGCTTAAAATGGAAGAACCCCAAGGTAGCCTATTATTGTATTTCTTTTCTTTTTTTTTCCTTTGTAATGATAAATTTAAGTATTTTACACCTCCACCGACACAAATTTAGATTCGGGCTGTTTAACCCTACCGGTCTGAGTCAGCCCTGGAGTGAGTAGGGTATAACGTCCCAGCTGATGGACAGATATACTCCATTTAAAAACTTACTCCCTGTTGTGAATTGAACTTGCATCTTCTGCATTCAATGTACCGCTACACCACATAGTCTTTTTTCTTTCTTTTTTTTCATTTTAATAGACAGTAATCTCTCTTTTCCTGAAGAAGAAAGATATCATATTGAAGAGATGTTGGACTGAATGAATATTGCGACTATGTTGTCTTTTACCGTAACTGCCATTTGTAAAATAATGCTTCCATTTAGGACATGTTTTATTTTATTAACTTGATTGACCATGTCAGATTAGAATTTATATGTTTTTCATTTGTATAAGTAGCCAAAATTTATCGTTGTATTTTTAGATGTGGTTAAAATTGTTCAACTTTTATTATTTAGTTCATGCTGTTGTTACTGAAGGAAGAAAAACACATTCTTATTCAGTGATATTTTTTTCTCTTCCCTTGAAATAATAAAATGTAACGTTTTGATGTGTAATTAGGAAAGGAACATTTGAGAAAAATCAACTGCCCTCTTTTGTTTTGACTGGATTCTTTTTCAAATAAATCTCAGTTCCTACAGCCCACTGGAGCAGAACGCCAAGAAAGAGCATCTCCCAGAGGCTCGCGCCTCACGATACTTTGACAGAGGAGGCTACTCCAGCTGTTAGCTCCACTGGTAGAAATGTGTAAGTTTTTCCCCTTAGAAGGTTCTTGAATTGTGCACAACAGTGACATGCTGCATCACCACGGGTTTAGTTGGTCAGCTATTGAGATGTACTAAGCCCAAAAGTAAAAAAAAAAAATTTGTTGCAGTTTCTTAATTCATGGTATCAGTTGCATGTTCTCAAGATATATTTTGTTGCTTATGAAAAAGGGATTTAAAAAATAGATAATTTCATTATAATTTTTAAATCTTTTTTTCTCTCCTGAAAAAATCTGGCCAACTGGGCTTAAAACATTTGAACATATGTAGTCCCTTGTCCACAAGGGCAGAACTGATACAGCTTTGTGAAACCTGTTTATGTATGATCTTGAACTCTCACGGTCTATTCTGGGTTCAACAGGCTAATACTGTTTGATGTCTGGTCTAGATAATCTTGTTTGAAAACGTAATGAAGGTATGTTCAGTTATCAAAATTTGGTTTTGGTGTTGTTTTGATCCAAAAGCATAAGATTTATTTTAGCCTTCAGAAACATTTATCCTTTACAGACATGTGGATCCTATATATGCAGAATTAATAATTTTTAGAATCAAGTTCAAGAGATTCTCCTCCAAAGATATTTCAAAAGATTGATTTTTAATCATTATTCTTTATATCAATACAACTCAATATCAAGCTGGAAGAGGAAATCTAATAGCCACTGGAATAATAACAACAGTAGCATCAGTAACTACAACAACAGTTCCAGGGACAATGACAACAGGATAAGATTTTTAAACGAAATTATTCTGAAAGAAACTTCATGTGCTCCAGAACTTTATTTCTATGACAATGATTTGCTCTACTCGGTATTGCAATCAGTTTTGTTTTCATGATGCTACTTTTCTTCTTGGGTGCACTTTAGGCCAGTTATTTTCATGCTGGATTGAATTGTGGAAGTCCCATTTTAAAATTTCTTGTAGAGTATTTTTTATTTTGGTTCATTTAGGAGTTTTAGTAACCTCCATCACCTTGACTGGATTTGATCTGAGTTGGATGTTGAGTCAATGGTTCTGAATTGAAAGAATGTATAAACCCTAAATTTACCACCTCCATAATATGTTTCATTGTCCAGATCATCGAAAGGCTCCTCTCGCTCGACTAAAAAGGAAGAAGAGAAAGAAGCTGCTCTAGACATTCGCACTGACCTGTCACAGAGTAGGGATATCCTTGTAAGTCAAATATATATGCTTCTGAGCTTTGTTAAATAATGAACTTTCCACAAATTGAATAAGGATTTTTGTAGTTGAACTCCAATTATCAAAATAAAATTAAGCAACTTTTGTAGAGAAAAAATAATGTTGTGGCTTGTATCATCATTTTTCATATTTGCATTTTATGCTAGGCCAACATTTCTACCGTATTCATTCATGTTTTGCTTGTCTAGTTTTCTTTTTATCTTTGTCACTGTTAACTCCTGTTTGATTACCCATTTTTAAAACTTTTAACCCATCACTTGGTTTCATAAAGCGAAATTCAAACCAAGAAGACATTAAAAACTCACTATCTGCTTTACCGCTTTATCTCCAAGGGGGGTAAACCCACTACGCCGGGGCCCTTTTTTTGGTGCTAAATCTAAAAATGACAAAAACGTCATTAAATGGGTCATAAAATCAAAATTTGCAAACCTATTTTGATAGTTCTTCATCTAATGAATGAACTTCCGGTATGAGAGACCTGTTTTCTGCAATTGTAGAAAAGCAATTTGATGTCAAAGTCATCGCAAAGGAATGTACCCTGTATGGTTACTGTCTACACAGGGAAAGATGGTCAGTCGAACAAACCTTGAGTGGGAGACAAAGGAGACTTACGCTGACTACATGCGAACTACTTTGTATGCCGGTGAGCTCATTCCCGTGAAGAGGATGAGGAGGTTGCAGGTAACTACTCCCATGGTTTCTGAGTCACATCATCTTTGTTATGATAGAAATGTTAACTACTCTGTAGAGGCCTGTCCTATTAAATTATACTTGCTACAGAAGCATTATACACTTTTTAAAAATGTGATTATGAATATGTTTTACCCTCTTAATGAACCAATGCACCCTGAAAGAAAGGAGAACAAAGATAAAAGAGGAGAAAGATTGAGAAAGGTAAGATTTATATGATATAAGATCTTAGTTGTTCAGGCATTAGCACATTGGTTTGATGATTCGCCACACACACACACACACACACACACACACACACACACACACACACACACACACACACACACACACACACACACACACACACACACACACACACACACACACTCACACGTACACACACACACAAACACACACACACATACATACACACACATACACACACACACACTCTCACAACACACATATACACACACACTCTCACAACACTAACACACACACATACACACACACTCTCACAACACTAACACACACACATACACACACACACACTCACACACACGCACTCACACACACACACGCATACACGCACACACACACACCTTTATATACACATCTACTCTCACAGATATCCTCTTCCCGCACACATGTACTGAAACACATGAAATATGCTTTCCCTCCTAAACAGACCCATTGTCAAACGCATGTATGTATATATATATATTATATTATATACATATATATATTTTTTTATAAGTTATAAATGGACAATTGTGAGTAATGATAATAATGTTTAAGATAGATACATAAATGTGTCGTGATATGGTGGAATCGGGCGCTAGTCAGATTTTGTGCATGTGGTGTTTTTGGTATCATCTTGAAGCCTGTTCATTAACCTTCCTTTCAGTGGAAAATTATCCATCTATGCTGAATAGAAGTTGAAATATTTGCGATTGAAGTAGGTCAAGGTCTCCTAGTTTCAGAGGCAAAATTAGGGAGAAAATGGCCGCCAAAGTTTGGTAACTTCTATAGCTTGAGAGTCCTTGGAAACTGAAAATTAACATTTTTTGTACCTTTAGTCAATGTTTTTCAATAAAATCCACATAAAAGATGAAACGTTTTCTAAACGGACATAAAAGGTGTTGAGCCAAAAAAAGGAAAAATTAAAAAAAAATTGCCCATCAGCAAAAAAAAAATGCTGATTTCGTTGATTTAAACATTTTGAAGAGCGCCTGATTTCACTACGATGCCTCACAATAGGTATTCTTATAGCGCTCTGAAGAAAGAGATAGACTGACAGAAATGTGTAAACATGCATAAAAACGGACTGACAGTGACATGGAATGTATTGCACAATAATTAGTAAACTGAAAGGTTAAGTGTCTTTTTGATAGCCTTTTTTGATGGAGAGATGGAGGGGAGGGGAGAGGAGAGTAGGACGGGATGTCGTTGAATTCATAGAATGTAGCTGAATTTTAAGTTTCAAATTTTCACTTCTTGAGTTTTTTGTTAATTCTTTAATTACTGAATATGATCAATTTTTCGGTTCAGTTTTCTGCTTAGTCAGACTAAAGTTTGTTTTCATCCCATTTGATATTAAAATGACTGTGTTATAATGTAAAAATGTTGTTCCCGCATCCGATCTGGAATTGGGGATTGCCTTGTTAGTGAGACAACTTGCTGGGCCTTCGGCATACTGTGGTAAGGTGGCCATTTCCTTTCCATGCTGCCTTTACTTCCCCAACTCGAAGTCAGGTACCCATTACTGCTGGGTGGGCAGGAGGGGGCGAAAAAAATCCATGTCTGAAACGAGGCTCGAACCCGAACTTTCTGCTTCGGAGACGAGTTCACTAACTGCTCCGCCACTGCACTCTCGTTATAATGTATTATCTGATATAAAGTATGTGGTCAATTTTCGTATGTACTTATTTCATTATGTGTTAAGGCTTGATTTTACTTCAATCTGTGTTGAGTTTTATAAGTGTTTAAAACTGTTTTGTGTTTCAGGGTCATGTAAACTGCATTTCTTGCCTGTACTTTGACAACCGTCGCTTAGTAACCTGTGGGCTTGACAGACAGATTCGACTTTGGGATGTCCGGAGTGGGCGAAGTTTGCACAAATTCCTTGGTCACAAAGTATGTTTCTTGAGTCATAGCGGTCGAAGGTTTGAATAAAAAAAAAATATTTTTAAAAAGATAGAGAGACACAAGAAATGGATGCTAAATTTAGAGGTCATGTCTTTTAAATAACATAACAGGGTTGTAAGGGACGGTAAACCTATAGAATTATGCAGAGAGACAGAAAGTTCCATTGAAGTTACCTGCTTATTTTTATTTTCAGTAGAGTTAAGTATAATTTTAGCTTCTAAAGCAAAATGATTTATCATAATAATCCTTAGGCTGTTCCAATTCTTTATGCAGTTAAACTGAAATGAGTGTAAATTGGTGAGACTTTAAAAAATCTTAAAATTATGCCACACCAATTTGTGATTCATTTGCAAGTTAATTAACTTTGAATTAATAGCTTTCTTCAGAAAAAACTGTCGTACTCATTTTTTATATATGGCATGGTTGACCCTTGTTTTCCCTAATGGCATGACTACAGATATTTTCTTCTCTTTTTTTTTGTCTACAGGGTGGAATTCGTTGTGTGCAGTTTGACAATGATATCATGGCCACAGGATCCTGGGACTGTCTCATTTTGGTACGAAAATAAGTATTTTTGTGTGTTTTTGTTTGCTCTTTTTTGTGGGTTTTTCTTGGTTTCTTGGGGGTTGAGGGCGGGG